TCCTCATAGACAAGCTGACAGAGTATGGATTAGATAAGTGGTGGTGGATTAAAATCTGTCTGAATGGCCGGGCCCAGAGCGTTGTGATCAGTGGTACAAGGTCCACTTGGAGGCCAGTCACTAGTGGAATACCCCATGGGTCAATACTGGGGCCAGTACTGTTCAATATCTTCATTAATGACCTGGACGATGTGACTGAGCGCAACCTCAGCAAGTTTGTAGACCATAAAAAACCTGGGAGGAGTGGCTGATGAGCCGGAGGGTTGTGCTGCCATTGAGAGGGACCTTGAGAAGCTGGACAGAGAGGAATCTCATCAAGTTCAACACAGGGAGATGCAGAGTCCTGCATCTGGGTATATCTGAAGGTAAGCCCCTGCACCAGTACAGGCCAACTGGGTGGAAAGTATTTCTGCAGAGAAGACCTTGGGGTCTTGGTGGACAACAAGCTGACCATGAGCTGTACTCTTGTAGCAAAGAAGGCCAACAGCACCCTGAGCCACGTTAGGAAGTGTTACCAGCAGGTGGAGGGAGGTGACCCTTCCCCTCTACTTGGCATAGGTGAGGCCACATCTGCAGTGCTGTGTGCAGTTCTGGGCTCTCCAGTGCAAGACAGACATGGACTTACTGGAGTGAGTCCAGCATAGATCCACAAAGATGGTGAAAGTTCTGGAGCATCCTTCACATGAGGAGAGGCTGAGAGAGCTGGGACTGCTCATCCTGGAGAACGCTTGGGGATCTTATCAATGTATATAAACACCTGATGGGAAGGAGTGAAAGACAGGGAGATGGAGTCTTTTAAATAGTGCTGGGTGACAGGAGAAGAGGCAGTGGTCACATGAAAGTCAAAGTGGACATCAGAAAATGCTTTTCACTGTGTGAATGATCCAGTGCTGGCACAGGTTGTCCAGAGAGGTTATAGAATCTCCATCCTTGGAGATATTAAAAACTTAGCGGGACACAGTGCTCGACAACTGGTTCTACGTCTCCCTGCCTGAGCAGGGTGTGGGACAAGATGATCTCAAGAGCTCCATTCCAACCAAAATGATACTGTGATTCTGTATATTAATTTCTCTTCTCCTCTAACAAATAAACAAGATGAGATACATGTCATGCCTGACAGTACTGTTGCATGATACATTTTGTGAAGTATGTTGGAAAACCAAGCTATAGGCCTTATAACTGAATTAATTATCTAAAAATTAATTTCCAGCACAGCAGTTAATTTGAAAAATTAACTTATGGAAGATGCTTTGAAAGGACAGAGGCAGGTTTGCCCTTTGGCAGAAACGTAGATTTAACTCTTGTCATTCTATCCCAGACTTGTCAAAGTGTTTTTTTCCTGAAGGCATTTTTTTAACGTGCAGAATGATTCTTTCAGAAACAATTTCTTTTCCTTACAGGTTTCATCCATTAAAAAAAATCAGCATGTTTTCTGATGAAGAATGCTGACTAGAACATCCATTTTGTTTCCCAGCAGATGATCTCTCTAAGTTAATCGATCCCAGTTCTAATGAAGTGACGTGTTTTAAATAGATCTCTGCCAGCATGTGTTTCTATGTCTTCGGCCTTTAAACTTTGAAGTGGATCCCTTCATGGGATTTCTAGAAATGATCTGTGGTTTCCATTCAGATTTTTCTGAAAAATCCTGGTGCTTCAGCCCAGTGCTGGGAACTCATTTTGATGAAAATGATTTTAAATGTAAGCCCCTTTTTGGTGCTTGTTTGTAACTGGTTCAGCATTTGATTCTGAGGGTTAGCACCCAAGCCTAGCTGGGCTGTTCATTCCCAGGCTGAGCTGTGCACAGCTCAATAGCTTTTACGTGATGCTCTGACCACGCAGAAATGGAGCAAATCACTGCTTTCCTAGTTCAGCTTTGCAATTATATTTTAAAGGGAGGGGGAGGATGTATGTCTGTGTCTGATAATTCAGAAAAGCTGCCATTAAAGGATAATCACTCGATATAATCTTTTGCTTTCTACTGAATGCTTACACATTGGTTACTACTAAACTGCGTACTAATTCTGCGGACAGAAAAAGAATTAAAAACCTGATCGGACGTTTATGACAGTTTAAAGATACAGTAGCTTTGTATTTCATGGCTGTGTGTCTACACACCCTGTGTTGTGCTTACATGTTTGGGTTTTTTTTAAGAAAATATGCGTTAGTTAAAAAAGAAATGTCAATTTATATGTTCCAGAAAAGCAATTCAGTAATTACCTGGAACAGCTAATGATAAGAGAAGGAAATACAGAAAGGTTATTGCTTACTGAAGATGACTACTGTTCAGTTCCTGTGATACAAATTGTGAACTGCTACTTAAGTTCTTATTTTCTTGGAAAGTGAGAAAAGATGCAGACAACTGATGTCATTCTACATCCACTGAAGGTCACTAGTATGTTGATAACTCTAATAGTGGAGTTGTGGATTTTTGGTGCCCTTGCACATGTTCTTAAAATAGGGGATAGTTAAGATAATTACAATTATAGTCCTTATTGCAGAATGGTCATTAAACATGCTCGATCCTAATGTTACATTGTACTTATCCTCCTTGATGAGCACAAAGTCCTTCAATTAAAGCAATGCAAACACTACTTTCCTGGGCACCTAAACTGTGTGTGGGGTTGCTTGCCCTCACTGTGCGCGTTTTGTAGAGCAGCAATGAGAGGCAGTTGCTATATTGTTGGTAACACTTTGAAAAGCACGGAAAACCTAATACCTATTTTAGCAGGAAGGAAAGAAGGATTTCTGTCCCTGATTTACTGTGCAGTCTTCGGGAGAAAAGGAGAATTCTTAATATATAGTTTAGTCTGTGAACTTGTCGATGTGCAATTTGTTTGTTTTCTGATGCTGTTAGTAACTAAAGGTTACGTAGCTGTTACGTGTCCACTTGAAGGTGTGTTATCTGCTAGCATGTTCTCTCTCTCTTTCACACTTGTACACATTCACATGCACTTGTGCCCCCTCCCTCTTGCCCCCCACCCGGAGAACAACCCACCCGGATATCCTTTGGGAAACAGCAGCACCCTTTCCCAGTTGGAGCCGTGTGCGGTTAAGCTCACTGAGCTCAATGCCATGTGACTCGAAACGCAAGGAGCAGATTGACATCCGGTGCACGCTCTCCAACTCGTCGGATAGCCAAAAAAAAAAAAAAAAAAGCAGTGGGAGTGAGGAGGGGAGGTTCCCTTGCTAAAAAACTGCTGGAGCTTGTTTGCCGCGAGCTCGGTTCATGGCAGTAACAGAAGCAGCAGTGCTTATTCAGTAGCTCAGTGCTCTCAATGAGGTCAAGCTGGATCAAAGGGAAACCTCCTGTGGAAGCATCTACTGTAAGTTCTGATACTGCTTTTTCCACGCTCCCTCCAACTGAACCGTAGCCTGTACAACTGAGCCAGGCTTCGGTGCTTTATGTCTCCCCAGCTGATAATTTTGTATGAGGTTGTCAGGTTTTATGTTAATTGAACTTGTCAGTAAGGCATCAGTTGGATAATAATGCTGTGCGTTCTGGGAGGCAAGGGCTTATTGTTCTATCCTTTTATTTTCTGAGGGAGTGGGAAGAAGAAAGTGTGGTTTTGTCCTTTTGAAAAGCTCCAAGCTGTGGAGGTTACAGCTCACCAGATTCTGTTTTATGTAATCTACATATTCTACTTTCTAAATAAAGTAATTGTAAAGTGTCTTTCAAATGTCCTTGGATTTCACCAAATAGCTATTCTTTTGGGAATAGCTACCTAAACAGTTACTCAATTTGAAAAAAAAAAAAAAAAGAAGAAAGAAAAAAGGAGAGAGAAAGAGAAAACACTTTATTTAAATCTTGGAAACATGTAGTAACTAAATTTCAGAGACAATCTCCTTACACAAGCTGCTGTTCACCTGAGGGGTCTCTAATGTGATCATTCAGAAATATTTCTTTGAAACTTAATTCTGAATATCAGCTGGTTTTAATGAAACTTTTCAGTTGCAAAGACTTTCACAGTGAGATGAAAATTTTCTCATTTTATGTAATGAACTAGCTGTTTCTGCAGAAATGATATTTAGCGTGAAGGAATGCTAACTTTTGCAGGTAGTGTTGTCTCATTTACAGCATAGAATCCTTGGGGAATACTGAAATGCTGGGCTGTAAATTTTTCAACTCCATTAACAACTTTTTTATTTATTTTAAAGTACAAAAAGCTTACCTGAATACATATCTGGAGGGCTTGCTGAGTGGTTTAGATGGATTGAACAAAATAACAACCACCTGTTTGGATTATTGTTAGTAACATATTGTAAACCCTGAGGAGAAATAAAATATCACAAACCATTATCCTTTTCTGCTTTAAAGTTCCTCTTGAAGCGGGATGGCATGATGCCTCTCTCTTGATCTTCAGCTTGTATGTCTGGAAACTGGGCAGTTGTGCTGTGAAGCAGCTTAGTGTTGCAAATGTCATAAAGACTCATGTAGTGCCTTACCCCCAAAATCTAATGCTTTTTTTTTTTTTTTTTAAAGGTGTGTACTTCCATAGTAGTCTTCTTTTTATCTCCTTCAGTTAATAGTCTTGACTTTCTTAGATATATCTAACTTGTACGTTGGGTAGAGGAAAGGAAAAAAAATAATAGTGTGAAATCAGGTCATGCAGCATCTGGTTAGGAAGTGTGAATATTTGCTGGAGAGCTTTATGAAACAAACTCATGAAGAATCATTTTCAACTGTGTGCTTCTATTTAATAAATAGAACACCCATTAATTTAGTATGCTATGATTTTTGTCTGGCATCACTGCAATATAAATACGAGAAGTTAATGTGTAAATTAGCATCTGATACTTACCACTCTTGTTCTGAGGATAGGATCAAAATGCTCTATGAACCCAACACTGGATTTTAGTATTTTGAATTTGTATCTTTTCTTGGTTTTAACAGAGGCTGTCTTTGGTTCCATTGAGACAGCTCCATTTTTAAACATATATAGTGGGAAATAAAACATACTGTATCTTTTTTGTCCAGATGGTGATGTTTCTTTTCATTTCAGCATTCAGCTTCTGAGTTGATCTTAGTTGAAGATGAAATGACAGATACTGAAGATAATGAAGAGGAGGATTTAGGAGTCATGGATGATCAACGTAGCGTAATTCTCCATCTCATCTCTCAACTCAAACTTGGCATGGACCTTACCAGGGTACGGACACTGTATCTTTTTTTATAGTTGTTCGTGAATTTTTCTTTTTCTCATCCTTCCATGTGTGTGCACGCACACACTCATGTGATTGCTGTGAGCATGTTTTGCCCCTATGGACAAGGAAGTTCACCTCTTTATAAAGGTGTGGATCCAGAGAGCTATGGAGAGCTGTCTCCTGCCAGGCAGGCTTTCACATGAAGTGACCACATCACATACTTTAGGGATGGGGGAATGGGGTAGGGGCAAGGGAAAGAAAGAAGAAGACAGACCCCTGAAACTCTTCCTAATTTTTTTCTAAGTCTTTCAAAGCAACCATATATTGTGTTTGTATCCCACATGTTTGTTTAGTCAGGGTGCACTGGGTGTTTGAGCAACAATAACAGCAATTGTATGGATGAAGGAGATACGTGCTCAAGTTACTGCTTTGTGGATTGAAGTCAATTTAATTACTTGGCAACTTCCAAAAAAAACATGATGGTAAAGAAATTACAGTCCTCAGTGTATCACTGTTCTTGACTGTGCTAAGCAGCTCACCAGTTTTACCTTCTGTGCATCCTTCTGGTCCTGGAACCACTATTGTTATGAGCTTATCCCTTCTGATAAGATCAGAGAAGGTACAGTGTCTGAGAAATTTCCCATAAGTTTTTAGAGTTTTGGACATGAGGTAGATGTTATGGAAGCAGGGAATGCCTCTTTTTGAATAGTCCTACATTTCCCGTGAAACCTTCTCATGGGGCTTAAAAAATAATCACGTGGTTTTCAACTTAAAAAAACCACCAGATAAAACTCTTATAACCCACTTCCCACAAATAAGAGGAGCTCATTCTGACACACCCTCCAAAAATAAATGTTTGGAGTGATGAGAGAATTTCCCTTGTGCATGAAGTAGCTTTGCAGCAGATTCTTCTCGTAGGCATTTTGATATTCTGAAGAGTTCTTCTGCTTTACTTTTGATCTTACACATTAATCTAAATCTATTTTTACTATCACTTTCTTACAAAATAAGGCTTTCTCAATATAGTCTTTTCTGCTTCCTCTGGAACAATTGACAGTATTTAAAAATACTTACATTTTTAAAGCTAAGCAATCCCGTGATCTGTTGCTAAGAATAGCTATTGAATAGCTGCACAGAAAGTAATGTTTTGTTCTAAATAGAACAAAAGTTTCATTATTTCATTTGTGAATAATTTATACCTGTCACTTCTTAGTATGTCTGGGGTTATGTACAGTTCACTTTTGGTTTTGTTTTTCTTACGTTCCTCAGTTTTTCATAGCTCTTCCTCTTTTCTGTGTTTGTTTGCTAAGGCTGTCTGAGTCTATAATGTTTAAACTAGACTAAGATTCCTTGTCTGTTGTTCTTGCGTCTTAGAAATATTTTGTCTTTGGTAATGAACAAGATTTTTCTTCCCTGATTTGCAGTGTCATCTTTTTGTCATGGCAGAGGAGGCAAAACCCCAAAGACATACATTTAATGTAAATAAGAGAAATTCTTGTAAATAAGTGTAGAAAAATATAAGAAAAATAGGAAGGTAAATATATAGGATAACCGATTTCTTACATAGTGTTCTGAGAGCACAGTTTGTGAGGATAGTGATGAATACTATCAGAGCTATAGGATGGCAAAATACTAGCATGCATGAATGTGTGTATATAATACCCACAGTCTGAAAAGAGGAACAGGCATATGGCAGATTAGATCTATCTCTAGTCTGTGTGATGCATGAATACACATATGATGAGTATTAATGAGACATGCCACATGTGCACATCACTTTTCTGACCATTTTGAGGATTAAAAAAAAAATAATTACAAGACAGCTGGCTGCTTTTTTTGTTAACTTCACTTACTGACTTGAGGCCCTTTGGGCCACAGACGTGTGACGATGAAGCTTGGTTTGTTGGCTGCACCTCTTCTTGTTTTTCATTATTCCTCTGAAAGTCAGATTTCAGATAGCCTTGATGCTAGTCAGGTAGAAGTGGTTGTGGCACAGGAGTTGCTAATACCGGGGGATGTTTTATATGTTTTTGTTTTCTTGTGCCTTCTTCCTGAGGGTGGTTTCTTTGGTTCATTGAGCTATGGGTTACAACATGCTACACACATGAACAGAGAGCTCTTCCGAGCCCTTGGTGGCTTTGAGTTCTGTATGAGTAATCATTACCATCACGTACCGTATCAGAGGAAACAGCATCTTTTCCCTTTCCTACGAGGTGATTGCTTATGTTAGTCTTGGCCTTGCCTGCGCTGACATCAATTACCCACAGTGATGAAAGCCACATTTAATGCTGCAGAGGTGCTTCACTCATCAGATGTGTCATGCTGCCATGCCTTTTAATGAGGAGTTAAACAGTAAAAATCTGCTGTGACGGAAAACACCTGCAATGAAGTGTTAAATCTGCATGGGGATTTGCTCGAACAGGATAGACTCTGTGGTGGCCAAATAGACTTCAATAGCTGCTAGAGAGAGAGTTGGGTGGGGGAGCAGTTCACAGCAGCAGAATATAGTACAAAACTGATGCCTTAGTCTGGGCTAGGGCTTTAAACCTCATTTAAAACTGGAATTGCTGGGGGAAAAAAATAAGTTTCTAAATTGTTTGTTCTTTGAACTTTAAAAAAATGAAAAATAGTGCCAAAACCAACTGACAGCCTGAGAAATTTGTTGGCAAATGGCATCTAATGGATTGCAGTTAATGCTAACAGTTTGTACAGATGGGTGATCACTCCCCTGCATTCCCTTACCTTCCCTATGATGTTTATATGTGCTAAAAATAAAGGGCTACCATTCTGTGTAAAAGGGCTGACAGTAATTCTGCAGAATATCAACCTTCTGTAAATTAACATTGTAGTTTATTCACGATGTCATACATTTTTAATTTGCTTGTCAATATACTTTTACCTTGTAATTTAAAAATATAAGTGGGATGAAAATAGCTTGGTTTATTCCCACAGTGACACAGATGACAGCGGAAAGCTTCTGTTCCTCTAAGAGAAGGACATTTTAGCATGGGGTACCTTGCTCAGGTTTCTGAAAAAAGTAGGGAATGGCGCTGACACCCGTGGTTTGCTTCACAGTAAATGGTAGGGGGGATAAATATCTCTGTTCTTAGAGAAGTCGTGCTCTTACTTTTCTCACTTGCATTCAGATCTAATTAAGTATAGGTGAATTCAAACGTAGGAGATGATGATCAAGCTTTGAGCCAATATCCTCTTTTTAACCTCAATGACAATGGAAGAATGCCTGTTAAATGGCTTCCTTTTCACCTGAAGCCTAAGAAAGTATAAGAACAGAGATTATCCTAACATTTTAGAATGCAGTCACATTTTTTGCTTTGGACTAAAGCAACTTGGTATTTATTCTAGAGAAATTATTTTGTCCATTTGATTGTCATGCTGGCTTTTTCTCAGAGGAAAAAATTAGGCAGTTTTGACTTTTAGGCAATTACAAAAAAAAAATAATGTTGCAGTCCAGTCCAAAACCAATATAAAGAACATGGGTCCTAAGTGTATTTTTCTGGACCGTACATTCTGTTTGGCTGCAGAAGAGCTGACAAACTCATTCCTCTGGAAACTAGAGGACTAGCACAAGTGCATGACAGTCCAACACTGGCAAGAAGAATGCCATATGCTTCCCAATTTGCTTATTTCTATTTTGCTTATTTCTGCAGAAATCAAGATAGGGCCAATTAAAAAAAAATGACTGTGATTTTTTTTTTTTTGACTATATTAGCGTGTGGTGGTGTTGCATACTGAAACTTTGAGGCTATGATTATTTAGTAAAAGGCAATGTTTTCTTGGCATATTTTATAATATTGGAGTTGTGTAAGCTTTATAACACAAATATTTTTCATACGCAGTTCTGCCTCCTTTTGTGAAAACAATTCAATTATTCTGTGTTTTGCAGTGGATCCTTTCCTGCTACAATTAAGGATGAAGTTTCCATTTTAATTGGGCTTTTAAAGCAAGATCATTTGAGCTGGAGTTCAAGCTTTATTCAGATTTTAAATTGATTCTTGAAACTGAATAATAAGAGTCCAGTGATTCATAACATCTCATTTAGTGGTTGTGTTGTAGCTCAAAGCACACAGTTAGTACTTGTGAGAACAGATACGAGGACTATACGATCAAATCAACAGGATGGAACCACAGCAGTCTTAATGTTGTACCATAAAATTTGCATCATCTTAAGTATGGTCTGTAGTTTTCTTCTCCTCCATTTGTGCTAATAAAGGTTGCTCTTTTTAGAGAGAGACACTTGGACATAACGAGATGCAGAGTGCTGTTTATTCAAATGAGTTTGCCCTTTCAAGCCCATGCAGTGAAATGGTGGTCACTACTAGTATTTCTAGACAGAGGTGATGGGTTGGGTTTTTTTCTGTTGTGCTGTCAGTTCCCCCTTTGATAACCTGATCTTTGAGTGGGCAATTTATATTCAAATGAGATCCTCTATTGAGGGTCAGTAATGCTGAATTGCATTTTTTTTAAGATTATATGGGATAATGAGTATTTGGTCAGAATGAGAGTGCTGCAAGTAAGACGGAATTGTTTAAAGAGCTAAAAATACCCTAAGAAAGTCTACTGCCTTTCCACTTCGCTTTCCAAAGTTTTAGATTGTCACACCACCGTAGGGACTGTAGGTTGTCTTTAGCACTCAGTAGTTTGCCACACAAAGTGTAAAATTAGGGCCCTGCATCTTTTGGGGCCTCACTAGGTTGGTAACAGAGACCATGTAGAGTCCTCAAGGCTTACAGAGTAGAGTCAGAGGAATATTACAGGCAGAACTTTGCTTCATTTATATCTAAACTTGTAAAAATTATTAGCCTATAAAAGACTGTATGTGTGTAAATAATACACAGAAGGAGAGAGAGAATGAAAGTGTATGTTACCAAGTGGAGCGGTTATCTTTTTTTGCAGTTGTGGTATGTTGATTTGCTGTGTAGCTGTTAAGACTGCGTTTGAGCCATTGTGACTGGATTTATTTTTTTTTTTTCATGTTCGCAAGTTTTCTTTGAAAAGAACTAAATGATTAATAAAAGTTTAACAGCTTCTATTTCATTATCCCTGGGAATCCAGAAGGACTGAACTGCGCTTTGGTCCCACTTAGAATAGCAAGCTGGGGCAGCAGGGGGGAAAGCAGATGTGTTTATGATTGAAGGGTGGCTCCCTGCCTGCTGTAAATAACCCTTGCTTTTGGGAAAGGGAAACAGTAAATGCAATAAAGAATGAGAGGAAAGCAGAACAACTGCTTTAATAGAGGATGGCTGTTGGTCTGCATCTGGCATCATTGAGCCACTTGATGCTAGGCAAATTTCTGTGTGCCAGAAGTTCCTTGTTGGTCACACAGGAGCGACCTCTGAGCTCCCCTGGGATGGTCTTGCACAAGGTGTGGAGCATGGGGGAGATTATTTTAGGTCCTGTAGCCCTCGTCTGTCTTGCAGTGCACTCCAGGATGTTTCTCTGGAAACTTTTAACAAAGTGTTATCCCTAAGAGGGTGACTTTGGCAACATCTGCATTGGTAGCTGAGCCACTTGGGGCTGCAGCCAAATCGCTGAGGGCTGGCTCCCTCTGGTGCAGACTGCCTGGTGCTCAGTCCCAGATTTTTTCTGGGTCCCCTGGCGCCTCTCTAGTCCCAGGACACTGATGTAACAGTTTGTGCAGTTTTTGTTTATTTCAACTTGTCTGAAATAGAGTGCAGGCCTGCAGGGACCCAGCAAAGTAGTATGCTACATCTGAAACCAAGGGGACATGCTGGGTGCCCAGAGGTGACAGGATAGTGTAGGGGTGGCACGGGATTTGACTTGGGAGGTGGGAGGGGACATGACACATACGATGACGGTGTAGGGCAGAGGGACTCAAACGGGGAGTGTTCTCTTGCCTGTAGCCTCTTGGGAATGGTCCTTGGCATGGTTTTGTCCTTGGAAACACTCTTGAGATTTGGTTTTGGTTGGATCTGGTGGGCCTGGTTTGTTAGAGGTTGGAAGGGACCTAATACATACGCAGCGGGTGGTGAAGGGCCCAGGTGTGAAATTGGGAGCCCAGATGTTTGGCAGAATGGGTAGATGTACCCCTTACACTCTCCACTACTTACAGGTTGGTGATGTGTATGTTTATAGAAAATACTCATCTTCTGGTGGTTTGGGAGGGTCTGCCCCTCCCTTTTTGGAGGGTTATGATTAGTTTGGTTTGTTGATGTTTGATGTAAATTAATTCACATCGAAGTACGTTTTTATGTCCTGTAAACAAGAGAACAATGGTTGGTTTGTTAGAGGAGAGGAAAAGGCAGATTTCCACGTGAACGGAACAGCCCGTCCCTGTTGTGTGAGCTGCTGGGGAGAATCATAATGAAATAGGAAGCAGCCTGCATGGCTATCAAGGACGCTGCTTTTTCCTTCGCTCGTTATTTACACTGCAAATAAAATGAAATTGGTGTGGCAGGGGAGGAAAATACACTGTCCCCAAACTTGGCAGGGCCAGAATTGCAGCTGTCTTAACTGTTCTTCCCCCCCTTCCCCTGTGGTAGTATGATCATGGGGAAATCATATCTGCCTTTGTCTGCTTTGCATACAGGTAGTGCTTCCAACATTTATTTTGGAGAAAAGATCCCTGCTGGAGATGTATGCAAATTTCATGGCCCATCCAGACCTGTTTTTGTCAATTGCAGCTGGAGCCACCCCCGAGGAAAGAATTATCTGCTTTGTGGAGTATTATCTAACAGCTTTTCATGAAGGCCGAAAGGGAGCGGTTGCCAAGAAGCCCTATAACCCTATAATTGGTGAAACGTTTCATTGCTCGTGGGATGTGCCTAAAGATAAAGTGAAAGCATTCAGAACTAATGGTGCCTCCACGGTTTCTAAGGACCCGACCAAGGATTTTGGCCAGGACCGGTCTGCGTGCTACAAGCTGAGGTTTGTAGCTGAACAAGTGTCCCATCATCCACCGGTATCTTGCTTTTACTGTGAGTGCAAAGAGAAGAAAATGTGCGTCAACGCTCACGTATGGACCAAAAGCAAGTTTATGGGCATGTCGATAGGCGTTTCTATGGTAGGTGAAGGTAAGAAACGTGCTTTTATTTTGGTTGTTTTGAGCTGATGTTGTGGGTGTCAACACAAGAGAAATCCAGATATTTTCCTGCTTGCTCTCCCTCTGACCCTTCATTTGAACCTTGTGGCTATTTGCTTTTGTGACATTTGGAATTAAAACTGTAGGGTTCATATAACTTTCTTCTGTCTAGGTGTAATGGGATACACACATTACATATATAAATATGTGTTTATGTTTATGTGAGTCTGTTAACATATGACTGTACTTCACCTATAATTAAATTGCAGTAGCAAATGGCTACTGACAGCATATTCTGTAAGAAGATTTTTGTTTGTCTTGCTTGCTTTTAAAGGAATATGCGATTTGGTATGGAACAGTTTCACAACTGGAACAAAGCTATAGGAAAAAAACATATTTTTACTTAAGCCTAACATTCTTGTTTCATAGTTTCTGCAAAGAATCATGGTTTCTGTAGTGATTGCAAAGTTAGTGTATTATCTCAAGCTTTATCCAGTTGAGATATAAATTGTGATTTGCTGTATCATACATACGCAGGATGCTTTGTGATAAGTCACTGCTCAGCGTGAATTCAGAAGTACAGGGAATCATGAATTCTTAATGGATGTTCTGAACTGATAAATACACCTGTACCAGTGTCGTTACTGACTACTAATGTATTGATTTAATGTTTAAGCAGTTTAGTCAGTCCCTTTTGCCATTTGAGTGTAATTTCCTGTTTATGTTTTTTCTTAACTGGTCTTTAGACTGTAGTCTCAGAAGTACCAGGGCAATTTACAGTAAATGCTTCTTTTTGTCTTCATTATGTTAAATACTATGATATTAAAGGTAGTAAAAAAAGGAGAGTGGGAAATGTAGTGATTTGGTTTTGCTTATTAATAACAACAAAACAATTATGATGACAAACTACAGATATGTTCTGCTATTTCTGCTAGCTAGAACTAAAGAACAAACTCAAACAGTACAAAGGGCTAAAGTAGCTGCTTTTCTGATGGCAATATATCCCCTTTTTTTTTTGTAGAAAAGCCACGAAACTTCCTTACTACAGGATTTGATATTGTTGTGATAGTTAAAGTCTAAAATAGCATGGCTGTTTCTGTATGAGGAATTAGGTGTTTTGCTTTTAATACAGAATTAAGGAAGATGGGAAGGGAGTGTCAGGAGGGAAATTGGTCTTTCTGTCTGTCTCCTGTCTGTACTACTGCCAGCCTGAGTCATTGGTTCAACTTGCTGCCTTTTTCCGGTACATGAACGTTTCTAGTACTTTTTTTCTCAGGGAAGGGAGCTATTTAATGGACATAAAATTAAACACAAAGTCACTTATGATTATGTAGGAGTAGGAAAATTTCTTTTTCTTGCTGCTAGCACACCCAGTTCCCTGGGATTGGGGGTGTCTACTGTGGGGATTATTTAAGACTTCAAAGTCCTGATGTGTCCCAGTTTTGTGAGAGAAAGGGTCTAGGAATTAACCACTTCCCTACCCCAAGGGTTGTTTAACATGTGTTTGTGAGAGTAAGTTCTCCCCTATCCCCCCCTTTTTTTTTTTTTCCTTTTTTTTTTCATGATCCTGGAGATATCCCAGGAGTGGACACAGCCTTTGGGCAACATCTGCAATGGTAAACTCTTTTATTGCAAGGTTTGCTGCTGTCTTTATGATGGGCATTTTGGGAGGAAGTTTGGATTTACCAGTTTATAGTTATTCATCTTTTTTGTTCATGTAAGCAGTGCAGAAGCATGCACTGAAAGCATTTCTGGGAAGTGATGGAGAAACTCCAGTGCAGCCCAAGCATTTCTGTTGCACGTTGAGGACTGGCAATAGGCAGCAAGAAGTTGTACCACTGAAGCTTTTCTATCATCTGAAAACAGCCAGCCTAAATCCGACAGCCTCTGTTTAACATGTTTGCTTCACGGTGCGGTTTCTTCACTTGAAACTACGCTTTCTTCAATTTTTTTTAATTTGTTTTAGTCCTAGGGAAGTCTTCCCAATTAAGTTGGTGTGTAGATTTGTCAGGCTGTGCAAACATTACAATCTCCTGCAGGCATTTCTTTCTCATGTGCTGAAAAAGTATAAATTCTGTATTAGATTGAGGTCAGTGTGAGTACTGGGGGAAAGATTGCTGAACCAAAAAAAAAGCAGCCACTGGACTGTGATGTGTTTTGAAACTTTGCTCTCTACTGAATAGTTTTGTGTGTGTCCTTCAAACAATTCAATGAAGCTTTTACTACTGCAGTTGGCTATTCACTGAAAAAAAAAAAAGTAGTACTGAATTTTTGGACCTATATTGTGTAAGGAATATGCTGGTAATGTTTCTGTGGTGCTTTTGAAGTATATTTTTTTTTAACTTGTCACAATGCCCTTGGATGTATAGAGCGTGTTGCTTTTTACGCTTTGTTGTTAGAAGCAGCAGTGGCTATGCTGAAAAATAGAATGTCATGAAGTACAAAGGCTTCTATAAGAATTTAAAGAATTAGGTGATCTGAGGACAGTATGGTCCTTTCATACAAAGGGTACAGCTCAGTGTCTTAATTGTACTGGTTTTAGTGTATGATGCACCTCAAAGTGACTTAAGATTTTTTTTTTTCTATCTTTGATTTTTGTTTGTTGATTCAAAGTAAGTATCAGTTGCAGAGGTGCAGAACAGAGTAGGAAAGCACTGCTGGAAATCTGTGTGAGAAGCTGTTTTATATGCTAGCCCTTCATCTGTGGTTATGAGGGGTCTAAATCTGGTTTGCTAATGAAATGTCTCAATTTTTTCTTCACTATGTAACAAACCCCCCATTCTTCAGAGTATTCAGCATTGAGTTTCCTCACAAGAAAGCTCCCCTCAATAGAAGAGAGAATATTTTGCATAAAAGAATTCATGTTGCATGCGCAGTCCCTAATTCTGGTTAATGTTAATTATGTACTAATGAGAGAGTGAGGGAGGAGAAGAGGGTGTAATGAATAGGATCACATTAAGATTTAAATTAGCAAGGGATGGGAGAGTCAATGTAAATATTTAATGGTTTTTGCGTGGTCCAAAGAATCTTCAAACAGATACTGCTTGTAGGATGCTTTAGTGGAAAAGGCTGTGGTGAGCACACCTCAGAGTAGGCTGTGCATTTTGCTTTTCTGCTCTTGGGTTTTGTTCTAAAGCGACAAAATCCAACAAAAAGTGTCACCTTTGATTTATGGGTTAATTTTGTAGAAAGCATAAAGTATGTTTAAGTGGATTGCTCTGTATTACCAGGTGGCTAGTTATGTCTTGTGTTTTCAGTCCTGCTATTTTAAATGTTTTAAAAACTAGTGAGGTGTAGGCTTCCAAAAAATATTTTTTAAATTGAAATCAACCTTGAAAAGATTTGGTAGGTAGGGAAGAGGTTCAGTGCTTTTTCCAGGGTAAATCTAAATGGAAGCAATGAATGTTTTTTCTCTTGGTTTTGTTCTGTTCAAATTGTTCAAATATACGTATGTGTATGTGTTTATGGATGTACAGGTCTATAAGTTCTATTCCTGAGTCATTAGTGACTTTTCAATTTACCAGTCCCAAAGACTTGACTGCTCCATGCAACTAGAACTACCTAAATATTTCCCTAGTACTAATTTTTATATTCATATTTTTTAGCCCAGTGGTTTCAGAACAGTTTCCGTATGGCACAGCCCTCATTACTTAATTTAGCAAATGGCTCCAGTCTTTGGAAAATGAGCAGTGCAGCACAGCTCGCTGGAATATTTACGAGATAAGAACACGGTTCTGTCATCTCGCGTTTTCCCGTGCGAATGTGCGCGGCTGGTGATGCACTACACCCGTGTGGGGTTCATCCCATACGCAACTTACTCCTGTTTGTGCCGTGTTACGAATAACGCGGACAGAGCGAAGAGCCTGTTAAATTAGGAAACTGCCCTAGGCTGTTTGTGTCCCACGTACCATTTGTTGTTCAGATTGATCTCCATACAATCAGTGGGAAGCATTAAATTTCACATGCCTCTTCTGCAGCTTATTGATCCAGAGCCTCCTCTGGGTATTTTATCAATATGTGTTACTGGAAAATCAATTCACAAAGCTGCAGCATCAGTGAGGGACATGTAGTAGTCAAACAGGGAAAGTTATATGCCGTGAACAGCCCTTCCTTTAATGCAGGCTGAGGAGTCGTGGAAAGGAGCATGACTGTGAATATGTTGCCTCACCAGGAGTAAATGGTGTTCAGGACATTTCAGGGGTGAATTTCAAAATTCCACACCTGTCTAGGAAAAATTCCCCCTTCTCTGTTTCTCCCAGAGTACTTACCTGGTGCGTTCTTCCATGCATAATAGCTGCCTATAAATACTTAAGGTTTTTTAAAAAGGAATTTGCAGTTTCTGAAATAATTCTTTGATGTGAGAAGAGGAAATGTTACTGAAAATGGGAGAATCTTCTGCAACTTTTCACGTATATTTACTTACAGCCATTTTTAAACTAAAAATGAGTAATCCCTTCCAGTGGGGAAGCAAGGGAAGAAAAATGCCTGTTTATTTTCCAGCAGGTATTTTTAAAGATCAGTCACAGTGTAACGATACTTATAAGCAGATGTTAAAAGCACACAGCACTTCTAAAAATAACTGTTAGATTTTAGTTTTTCTGCCTTTAATTTCTCAAGATTTAAGCTTGGCTGGGTGTAGGGTATGAATTCAAATTGTGGTAGCATTTACAAATGTTGACTCTCGGTGTTGTTTTGGGTTCCTCTTCCCTAAGAGAGCACAGGTCTCTGTTCAGGCATGGTGGTTTAGCTACAGTCTGCATGGTGCTTCAGTTAAACGAGGTTTTGCATGTGGACTCTGCAAATGACGGAATGTAAAACTAACAGTCGCATTAATACTAAAAGTAGTATCAAGTTGGGGATATTTCACATTTCCTCTTTATTCTTTTTTAGACTGTAATTATTGAGCTGGAGTCATATTTAAAGTGAGATCACACTTTGTTAAAAATGTATTTATTCAGGTGTTTAAGGAATTCAAAAAATACGCTACCAGGTGCTAAAAATACTGCCAAGAGAGCTGGGTTCAGTTTTTAATATCTAACCTGCTATGGCGGTTAAATATTGGCATTGAAGGTCACGGCTGTTATTTGCTGTTCACTTTTCAGTGTGCTTGGCAGCGTTCGTTAGAGCTCTGCGTCCTTCCCACTCGAGTATGGAGGGAAAAAAGCTATCGATCCCATCAGAGAGACAAAAGCAAACCTATACTAACCCAGGAGGAAATTGTGTTTATTGTGGCAGTTTCCTCTCGTATGGGGACGTGCAGTGATGGTCAGAGGAGAATGGCTGGGCCCGGGAAAGTAGGAGGTTCTGGAGAAGCTGACGTGAAGGTGTGGTTTGTAAATACAGTGAGGTTCTCCAGCAGTAGTGAGCACCACACCTGCCCACCGTACTGCTGTTAGACCTTTTGTCTTTAAAAAAAACCTCGAAAAACAACCACAAGATCCTCATAACAACAAAACCCCCAAAACTGTGATGTTGGAAGCCGATGCTTTCAGACAGACTGTGCTTTTTGACTGTGTGAGGATTGTCTATGCTTTGACCATTAAGATGGGGAAATGTGACCTCATGGGTGGCACCATGGGCCATTTCCCACAGCTGGTGGCTGCTACATGGCTGTTGCCCGTGACTATAATGAAGAAGGTGGAGAATAAATGGGAAGAGGAGGAGAAAAGAAAGCTGACAGACTTGAGTCTAAAGCCTGTTGTAGTTCTCTATGTGGAAAATGCCCAACTGCACGCTGTCAGGTTTCCTTTCTGCATTTGATCAGTACCCATTAGCTTTCTTTGATCTTTTTTGCATATCATCATCCAGTTGAAAGGCTTCTTGATTGTTCTTTATTAATTTATTGTTGTTATAGCATCCATTTAATGAGTCCGATAAGCAGAGTTGTCTTTTTGAGTAAAAGTTTATGGGTGAGTTGGGTCGTTCAGCCTTCGCGCAGTGTGTTGAGTTTGGGTTTACCTGCAGGTGTGGAGCTGAGGAAGCTCGAGACAGAATGCGTGTGTGTGCCAGCTGTGTCCTGGCTGTTCCCTGCTGGTCAGGGTTCAGCCATGTCACACGAGGAACTTGTGACTTGCCGAGGCAAAATGATTAAAAGTCCTTTTAAGACATGGCTTTTCTGCGTTTGTGCTTTTGCACTCTGCAGCTCGTTTATGTCAAAATTGCTGGAGTAGAAGGGCTGTCTGTGCCGTTGCTGGCAGGCTGAGGTTGCAGAAGTCCTGAGACCGACTGCATAAAACTATTCTGGTTTGCAAAAGACGTTTTCCTGTGGAACAGTTTGAGAAGGCAGAAGTGACAAGTTGCAGAGCTTCCTGTGCCTGCGTTTAGTTCTATTAATTGGAGCCAATATTTAAGATATTGATTCTGTTAGAGCTCTGTGCTTTTAAATTTTGAATGTTTTTTAGGTTTGTGTTTTCATACAGTGTTAAGGGCATATTTTTATGTTGGCAGTAGTAGTGCCTTGTTTTCTATTTAGTGCTTTTTCATCATTGCATGTCAGATCACTTTCCAAAATTAGTGTCGTTATTCGCTTAAACAGATAGACAAAGTGATCGATACCACTGCCACTGTGTTCTTCCCCTGTCTGCCCCAGGCAAATTGGCTCAAGCTCATCTTGTTTCTAAACAGATACTATTACTTTTTGAAGATAATTTTTTTTTTTTCCCCCAAATATTTCTGGGTTCTAAGTGCTTCCTGTGATGGGTTATTTTCAATCTCTGTTGTGAAAAATTATTTTCAAAGCTGTAATGTTTGCCTTTAGGCAGTTATTAAATGGGACAGAAAAGAGTGTAAAACTCTAATCAAAAATATACTACGGATATTTGGCATGATCTAATTCTGTGTGCAAGGTTTAAGGTCCTCTTTTACCTGGTCTTATGTCCTGTTCTTTGTCATCCTGAAGACCAAACTACCGCTATGGCAGAGATGGAGCTGTATCCATAACCCCAGGGGAAACTAAGATCCGATCAGACATGCAAATTTATTTGTAGGTCCAAATAATCTTGAAAAATTACTGCTGCCCCATGTTGTTGTTTTCAGTAACAAACCTATAATGCTGAGGGTGAAGGAACCTTTACAGAATAGAACTGTCAGTAATTTTCTCTGCATGGTAGAGACATTGGTCTCGGTGGTAATAGGCCAGTGGCCCTGGTGGCCCCTTGCTGGTTATGCAAGGCTTTTGCGAAGCCTTTGTGGGAAACCAGGCATTTGGAAATGAAGGCGCAAACTTGCAGGAAATTTCTAGATGGCTTCCATAGGCATGTTTCCTAGTTGCACCCAGTCAGGCGTAGAGAGCGCCTTTCATTCCCACCAACAAATACATCAGTAAACAATTGGTGGAGAGGACCTGGTTGTGTCTGACTGAATGAAGAACTGAAGAGTCCTTTGGCCATGCCCGTGGTTTTTTTCTGGAGAGAGCTTATGATATGATACTGAGTGAGCATCTGAATATTCAGTATGGCTTTTTGCAAGCAAATGTTATTTTTTTTCCACATCTAACAGTTTATTGCTTGTCAATAACACAAAATAAGTAATCTAGTCAGGTTTTCTGGTAAGCGGTTTGGTTCTGTGAAGAACCCCGGGGTACACATTCAAATTGTGTGCTTTTGACAATGTTTGTTTGAGGAAATTTGTTCCAGAGGGCAGACTCTTTTCCTTAGCAGACAACGCCCTCCTTCAAGGCGAGTTGCAAGTTGTGCTCTCAGTGGGAGTACACTTTGATGACAATAATTGGTCGGTGACTGTCAGGTCTTATCAGTGAACTTTTATCATTTCATTTTCAACCTTTTTCCTACGTAGGTGTTCTTTACTTGATGGAACATGAAGAAGAGTATGTTTTCACCCTGCCTAGTGCCTATGCTCGCTCGATACTTACCATCCCATGGGTGGAGCTTGGAGGGAAAGTCAACATCAATTGTGCCAGAACGGGCTATTCTGCCACGGTCACGTTCCACACCAAGCCATTTTATGGAGGGAAGGTCCACAGGTACAGGAATTACTGTCTTATTCTTGTGTACCTGCTACTGGATTTCAATAGAAAGGCTCTTGGGCATCTGTTCAGTTCTTCTGTTGGAGTATTTTGTAGACACATATCTGAATTTCTTTTCCTATTAGTGTCTGAGATGACTTACAGCTTTAGAGCACAGTTTATTGTAGTTATATATTTTATATCGTTTAACTGACTTGGATATATTTCTGTCATTAAACTAAAGCGAATGTATTCTTCCAGGCTTTGTTGCTTGTAAAGATTGCTGTAAGTGCAGGATCAGAAAAATGTATGTAGAAAAGGCAATATTTCTGCTACAGCAGCTGCTGCTGCTTCTGTGTGAGTGTGTGTGATGAACTGATGTTCCAGGTGGAGCTCCTGTAAGGAGGAGAAGAGCGAAAGCGTCGCGGCCCAGAGCGGTAGCTCCCTACCGGGGACTCCCACTTCTGCTCTGAAATTCTAGATGATGAAAATATTATTTATGTGTCTTTGGCGCTCCTGTATTAAGGGTGCAAAGAGGCACTGTGCAAGATAACCTTCCTGTCTTACTTCCATGCCCAAGTTGATGACCCAATCATTAATGTACACAGACCCCTTTCTTCTGCTGCTGTGGGCTGCAGCAGTGTCCGTGGCAAGGCTGTGTTGCCTGTCGAGATGGCGTGCTTTTGCATAGTTACCTCTGTTTTGTTTCACTTGGTCTAATTATTCTTCCATCTGCGTGTCAACCATTTCAATACTGTGTTCAGGCAAATATCAACACGGGCTGTTTTGACAGGGTTTTTTCTAAAAGGTGCAGGTTAATAATCGCTGCCAGCAGGGTGAGTGGAAATTGGGGAAGGTTGTGCTATATTAGTCTAATAATTAAAAAACTTAATTGAGTTTGCATATTACTTGACATGGCTTGCTAAAGCTCGTGCGTGCATGTTCTTACAGAGCGACGCACACACAAAACTACTCCCTGCATTTTGGTTTGCCTATCTGTTTTGCTCACACTCAGACCAGTTCCTGGACCACTTAGGTAGCTTTAATCGTTGCCTCTCAGCAGCTGAGGAGTAAACTTGCAGAGCTAAAGAAGATAAAGGTACCTGAAGTCTTTGACATAGGTATCTGACAGCATTATGTTGAGGTGTGAAAATAACACACGTACTGAAAATGTCACATGAATGTCAGGAGTTGTTTTTCAGGCTGATGAGGTAAACGGTTCTGGGCTAGAGCTGAGTATCAGAGTTTTACGTTGGGTTATTGCTGTAGTTTGGGAGAATGTTGTCCAAATGCTATTGCTGCCTTAGGTTTCTTGAGTTGAGTCTTTTTTTTTGGAGACAGTGTCACTATTTCGCTTGAAAAATTACTTTGTAGATGTCGAAAGCTGCTTGTAGCCTAGCTGTGGTAGTGTTTTCATACGCTGATACTAAATGGTACCAGTTATTTCTGTGGTCTTTTTTTCTTCCCTCTTGAATTAGGGTTACAGCCGAAGTGAAACACAATCCCACTAACACCATTGTGTGCAAGGCACAGGGAGAATGGAACGGTACGCTGGAATTCACTTACAGCAACGGAGAAACCAAAGTGATCGACACTAACAAACTGCCTGTTATCAGGAAAAAGATTAGGCCGATAGCAAAGCAAGGCCCGCTGGAATCAAGGTAAGGGCAGAGGCATCAGAGTGTTCCGCCTCTGAACCGCGGATGGCAACAGAACAGGGAAGCACACTGCAGTTATAAATGGTCTGGGGTCAAAAACGCCTGGCTTCCTACAGCACGTTAATCCAGGCATAAATAACCGGAGCTGTGTATTGGTTCTTTGGAACATAAATTACATTACAGTGATGTATACATCAATTTTGTAGAGGGGGAAAATGCTTGTCTGCGTTTTAATGAGCATTAGGAAAATGGTAATGCGGTGTTTCCACCTGCTTTTCTGAGTGATTCTAACACGGGAGTCAAATTAGTCAGTTTGTCGCGGGTAATGTTGCATCTTATAATTTACACTGGAGTGTCATGTTTTACATATTATAGAATATATATGTATAAAAATACGCAAAATATGATGCAATGTGAAGTATAAATACACACACACACGCGCGGTATTAAAGATCTCGGCACCCACATCACATGCCTTGCTATGACTAGGTACATTAGGAAAAAAATTGTTCTATTATTCACTGTCAATAACTGTTGTCGCTTATCTTCAGAAAAATCAATATTTTAATGGAATTGAGGAAGATTTTATTGGAGGATTTAAAAACATGAGTTAGGCTTCATTTTATTATCTGTAAATATGTTCTCTTTATTGTACGAAGGTGTGTCTTGAGTCATTGTGCAGGGTCAGGTATAATTTTCCTACTTTCTAAACATGCTTGCTTATCACAAACTCATTTTTCCCCTGTAGTTTAGGAATGGAAAGGTTGGCGTAAATAAGGAAACCAGTAGCTCTGTGGTGTATTTATTGTACTTTTTGGGTACTCGTAAGCAAAGTACAACTATCCAGTGTTTCTGCAGGATATGCAGTTTATCAGATTGTAAACAGAAACTCATTTAAACACCCATGGAAGTATGTGAAAGCTGCAGTTGGTTTCTTATCGGTATTTTTCTGGGCTAATATAGTGTGAGAAGTTATTGCACCTGAATGCAATGTGTGAAAACGAAGTTTGGGTATATACTGATAATTATTGTTAAGTGGGAATACAGAGCACAGACTCAGAAGGGCTCCCTAGAATCAGCGCATCAATTCCTCTGTTAGTAACCTGGTGGGAACAGTCAGTGTCCCAATCTAATGTACTCTCGGATTTTGGCTAACGTTCCCTTATAATTCAAAAATTAACTGCAAATAAGCATGGAATAAGTGCATGTCATTAGAGGGTTGATCATCGGTAAAGAATCTGAACAGGAAATGATAAAAATAAATCCATCTGCTTTGAGGAAAAAAAGCTCAGGTTGTGAAGAGTTGGGAACCTGAACAAAAGCTGTTGAGAAAGTTAACTTGCATGGCAAAATACTGGGAGCTGAGCAAATCTGGCTGTCCTAGGAGAGTGATGGTTGACAAGCTGTGTGACTTGCAAAAATAGCGTGGAGAACACGGCATCAGTCTTCCTCTCACCATGCTGTTGTCTAGCCGGGCAGTCAGATGCAGCAGAAGCGTTCTCACTTGTCACTTGTGCTCTTTCTCCGCCACGCAGGCACCTTTGGCAACACGTCACCAATTCTCTGAAAGAAGGTAATATTGATGCAGCAACGGAGCACAAGCACCGCCTTGAAGAGAGACAACGAGCAGAGGAGAGGCAACGTCTGGCTCTTACAACGCCCTGGAAACCAAAATATTTTGCCAAAGAGGTAACATCCCTTCAAGACCCAGTAGCATCTTCCTGCAAACGGGAGGGCGCTTCTCTGCTTTGCGCCGTGGGCTACTGTTGTTATGTACCAATGATTTATTTATTTTTTAAATTTTATTTTTGCCAGATTTTGGCTCTTAAAGAAGAGCAATGGATTGCTCCATGTCCATTTTGTAAACTTTTTCACGTTCTTTCAGTTAAGATTTATTTTAACTTGAATTTTTGGCACCTAATGTTAGGCACCTAAAGCTATGCTTTTTACCTTAAAATCCACCCCTTAATTTACAAATGCTGTGTACATACATTCCCCACGAATCTTGATCTAAAGTGAATGTCACTTTGAGGGTGGCAGAGCACTGGCACAGGCTGCCCAGAGAGGTTGTGGAGTCTCCTCTGGAGATACTCAAAACCCAACTGGATGCTGTCCTGTGCAACTGCTGTAGGTGACCCTGCTCTGGTGGGGGGGTTGGACCATTCTGTGAACATGATCTAGGGATATTTGCCCAATATGAGTTAGCATGGACATCTTAAACACAGTCTTGGGTTTCATCTGCTTGAAATGAAACAGATTTTACTAAGTTCGTCTTTGCCCTTTCTTAGAGGAAAGGGGGAAGGGAAATAAGACTGACTGAGGGAATTATTATGTGACTGTGTTGTTAAGTTGCCCAGTACGTGCAGCTATTTAAGCCAACAGTTCCATCTGTTGCATCTTCCCTTTGCTTCTCTTCCCCCTTGTAATTTTTTCGCTTCCGCTCAGATTACTTGTGAATTCATTAAGCACAGAATTTTCAGGTGACAGGGATGGTTTCTTGTGTTGATTTGATATTACTTTAGCTTTTATGTGGACATACGCAGATCCAGTATGTATAACTCTTGTTTGTAAACTCTTCCTAATTTTCTTGCAGGGTGATGGTTGGCTATACTTGAATCCTCTCTGGAAGACCCATTGACGGGATAGAGCAGTTGCCTCGTAACTTTACCTTGAAGGCATTAAAATGATACAGTATATAACTTCAAGATGTCATTGAATAGGTCCTGTTATCAGAAGATAAACTCAAGAAGCTATATGCTGTGAATGATGCATCTCAAAATAACCACAAGCTCAAGTTTATTCAGGAGCCATTTTGTGTGTATGGATACACAAACACATGCGCACACGTCCATGTATACACACATATATACACGCAGTGTGTATGTGTTTGTGTGTGTATTATTTACACTACATGTAAACACGTATAAACACTAACAGTGATTTAAAGACCTTTTTCCTCTAAGTGTTAGGGCACAGAGCTCCGGCTGGACTCAGCCGGGGTTCCCCAAGTTGTGTGCTTGCAGGATCAGGCCCTATGCTAGTATTTAAGAAAATACTTTTTTATTAGTACTGGTTAAGGTTTTTCTATTTTTCACTTTTGCCAAAAATGTTTTGCACTTAAAATGTGACGTGTCACTTAATGGCAGTCATTCTGTCTAAACAGTCATCGAGTAACTCACTTTGACGTAAGAATGATACACTGACAGCGCGCTCGCTCGCTCTCCGGGATGCTGATATAAGAGCATGTTTCCTGTCACTTCCGAGTGCGAATTTTCTGCCATCTTATAGGAAGTAGCAATACCTTCTCAAGAGCGCTGTTCGCACTAACGCATCGCGTCCTCGCTTTTTTGTTTGTCCATAATTCCAGCTGTTTAATAGCTCTGTGGTCACCAGCTGCTCTGGTAATTTTGATCTCGCTGTGTAATGTTCTCTGGCTACTGTCCCGCCAGTGCTTTTGGGTTACGTGTTCCGCTAAATCCCTTTGGGCAGACGTAGCCGTGGCGTTCCAGCTCCCTCTTGCCCCAGCTTTCCCACCCCTCGGCAAAGAGGCATGGCAACGCCGTTGGGCTGTGCCTCAGCCACCCCCGCTCACAGCCTTGCCTTTTAAGTTAAACCACTGCTGATGGGTGCACCCTAAAAAGCCCGGCTGTGCGGTGGGGTGGGTGTGTTGGGGTTGGTGTCCTCCCATGCCACCGCAGTCGGCGTGAGCCTTCTCCACCGGCCCAGAGGCAGGTTGCCTACACAGCTCTGGGAAGTCGGACACAGCTGGTCTGGTCAGAGCCCTTAATTCCGTATGAAGGCTCCGAGCAGACCTGTATTTTGATTTCTTTTGCTTTTTGACCCAGTTGATTGCTTCTGGATGAAGTATTTGGATGAATAGAGATGATGTAACTGGCCTTCTCAGACAAATGATTTTCTGATGTAAAAGTAACAATTTTCGTAAATTACTACTCTGAGACAATGACTTTATTAATGAAACACATGAAATGGGATATAATTTGTTTTGTAAAGTAAAAAAAAAAAGTAAGTAAACGATCCTGTAGCTTGATCTTGCTTTGTAAGGTAACCACTGTGACACTAAGGGAGCAGATTCTAAAAGTGATTCTAAAAGATTCTAAGGCTTCGTTGCTCTTTCGTTTGTAGTTGTTGAGAGTGAAGATGTTTTTGAGAGAAGTGGCAACAAAAGGCAAATGTAACATGCTGACTTCTGCTCAGTGCTGCTTTCTACAGTGCCCCGTAAAAAAACCCACTATATTTCTACCATACAGTAGCATGGATGCCTACCTTTCTGTAGTACTGATTCATTTTGTGCCTTTTGTCTGCTTTCTTAATACAATAACGTAGGCTTTGTAGATATTACACAAATATATTTAGGTCAAAGCACTGCTTATATCTGTTCTTGTGCGTCCTGCATTTTAGAATTATTTTTTTGGTAGATGTTGAAATCTCTTGAGCAACTCAAAAAAAAAAAAAAGGCTAAACGGAGGTCTGTACAGAAGGAAACATGCCATTAGTTGTTCATTTGGATATAATATTTAATAGAACTTGAGATCCCTATTTAATGAAGGTGTGGCTCCTTTTTCCTCCTAAATACTGTTTTGTCTGCTTGTGTGTCTTTTTTTGCACATTAGAAAGATTCATGTTATAAATGATTTAAATCCTATTTTTTAAAAAAGGTGGACTTTACAAGCTTGGTTTTCTAACTGACACTTTTTTTTTTTAAGGAAAAGAATCTGATTTTTAGGAATAGTTGATGTTTTTTCTGTAACAAAACCCAAACTGATGCTATCATAGTAATCACTGAAGTACTACCAAGCATCATCAGGAAAACGTGTACTTTATCACCTGCCAGAATTAACTTTATAATGGATCCACTCTTGTTCTAGAGGTTAGTCTGATAAGTAACTAGAAGTATTTGTACGGTTTGTAATACCATCACAAAGAGCAATTTGCAAATGCAGAATTAAACATGTGGACCATCCTCCCAGAACTTTGACTTTCACGCACCAAAGAACAAGCCACATACTCACTAAAAATAGCCATTGACAGCCTCTCTCTGCTGGGCACGCAGGCCTGCGCCCCTGGAGGAGTAGACCTCTTTCAGCTTTGATGGTATGACTGGCGAAGCGACAAAGATGCTGTAGCCATTCTTTTAAGGAGAAATTTGAGTAATTTTATGCTTGTAATTTATTGAAGATTTTTTCTGTCTGCATGGTTGGTTGTTTCTGCATGCTGAGAACATTCCACTTGTGCTCTGATAAATGTTTTGTTCTGATGGCTGTGAAGAATCCCCTGATGCCATTACCGGTCTCTCTTTCCCGAAGGAACTTGGGAGAGGCAAACAGAAAAATAGTCCTTTCTGAAAAGATCCCATCAGCGAGAGATTCCAGAACAAGATTCACACGTGTCATTTTATTTTTCTGATAGTTATGTGTTCAGTATATTTTACAGGACTGAAAAGTAAATATTCATAAGCCTTATTCTGTAGGTTGTTCCAATAGCAGTCTTGGACTTGCAAGTGAATCGTTTCCTTTTCAAGTAGCCAGTGTACACTCTGAATTGTAATGTAAAAACCTCCATGTACTTCAATATTTTTATTTTTTTTTTGTGCACACCTGTAGAAAGCCTATGCAACCTTTTTCTTTCTTAAATTAGAAATGTTCAGAAAGAAAATTTATACCTTTATCATTTAAAAGATGCTCTGGCAGTCTCTTCTGATTTGCCTTCCTTTCATAATTTGTGAATTTAAAATGACAATGCTCATGAATAAAAGATTTGTTTGATTTAGTAGTGGGATGCCCTTTCTCTTTCCATTGAAGCATGAGTTAACTGGTACCAGTTTCTCGGATGTCCAGGAGCGGTGTACAACACTCAGGGCATCTGTGAGCTCTTTGCGATGTTCTGACAGAAGTGAGTTGTCAGCTGAATCCTGGTTCGTTGTGGGGTTTTTTCTCCCCTGTTCCGACTGCCGCACACCATATAGGTAAGTTTTTGTTTAAATTAGACAGCACTACAGGGGGAAAACAGGGGAAAAAAGGCTGGGGAACACATGCCTTATTTTGACAAATAAAAAGGAAATAGGCTTAGGTGTTCCCTTGTGTCTGAAAATCATTATTTCATGTTATCTTTGTCATTAACAGAGATTCTTGATTAGATACCTCTTAAAATACAACTCTAAATTATTGCAGCATTTGATACTTGCCTGGGGAGGAAAAATGTGCTTAGAGGCTTCATGGATCCTGGTCTACATTTTTCAAGTGTTAGATTTATTTATTTTCAAGTGTTATTTTAAACTTTCATCCACAGTGCTGGAAACTATGGTGCCAGAACATTTTGTTTTTTAACGCAAAACAGAAAATGACACTGACCGTAAATAGGACAGGAAACACTACCCAGGCGTGTTCCTTGCCTTTCATTGCGTTCCTTCAAAGCCGCCTCTTGGAGCGGTTTGTACATTTGGTTTAAAGACATTACTGAGTTTTACTCACAGCCAAATACGACTTATTTTCAGTTTTAACTCATAGTGGGATTGACATGTACAGAGGACTGAGTCAAAGCATTTGACTGTTTTTTCAAGTTAATCTCTCTATCTAATGACTTTTTCTCCCCCCTCTGTTACGGAATTGCTTCCACAAGTCAAAATATTTCTTCTGGGATTGCGGAGAGTACTGTCTGCTCTCACTGCTTTCAGCAGTAATGATTAAGTGATACAAAAAAAATCAGCAGGACTGGCTTCTAGACACATGCAGTTTTAGTTCCTTAGCAACTGAAGGCCAAAGCTCAGCATAAGCTTTTTACTTCAGATTTTACTGGTTTGTGGTTTGTTAACGCTTCAAAATCTTCAAAATTTGACCTAATGGGACAACCAAAAGATGGCTGTAGCTAAGGAAATAAACTAGTATGGGAGGTATGTTTGCTAATGATGCAACATGCCAGTGTTCTCCACTGATACGAGTGTGATTCGGTTCTCAGAGAGAAGAGGCAGAAGTTAGTTCAGCTCAGTAACTCTCAGATGCAGGTGGAGAAGCAGGTAACCAACCCTGAGGTTCCTGAGGAACCACGGAAGGTGATACAATGCCTACCAGTTCTTCTTTGTAACGTGGGGGGGGGGTTTGTAAGTGGCTGCCTTAATGATTCCAACTTCTCATTTCATTTAAGTGAACAACATTGGCAGAAGCCTTGAAGTCAGGTTAGATTTAAGAAAGCTGAGATAAGTGGTAGGCAGTGTTAAGCCCAGGCTGGCCAGGACTCCCGCAGTTAGCTTATTTTTCTTTCACACAGCATGTTTAGAGCTATAAGAGTTGACAGGATTCACTTATTTCTGCTCTGTTGAAGAGAACACTGTCAGCTAAGACAGAAAACAATCTGACAGAACTGTAAAGATACCTAAAGATGGGAGGGCAACCTTTTATTTCCCCTCTTTTAAAACAAGGCTGAGTTACTGCCAAAGCACGGACTGGCCCAGCAGTGTCTGTTCTGCTGCCATTCATATGTTCTTCCAAATGTTAGATCACCTATTTCTTAGCAGTGGTGAGGGGACAGGACACAGACTTGCTTGGAAGAAGCAAGAAAAATATTACAAGTTGTCCCTTCTGCTGGTGTGAAACTGCAACAGCTTGAGTTGCTCCAGCTGCTCGAAGGACTGACTGCAACACCTGTGTTTGAAGGTGGCTGTGGTATTTTCAGAGAAGAGCAGCCATCC